ACGTTCGATGGGTTCTTGCCAGTCTTGCTCCACATGCGAGGTTGTTCCATCATTGCACGGCCACTCGGGGATCGGCCTCGGTAGCGACAATGTCTCACGTTTCAGGCGACTTGGCAGTTTACTCGCATCCATCCAGTTGCCATGGATCGCTATCGGTAACTGGAACAAGTCGCCAGCGCAGTTGTGTTCAACAGGCTTCGTGGAAGAAGTAGCGGGCATCGCAATCACATCCGAGGCTGAGTGCACATGCAAGTCGGGGGACAATCGGCCCTCGCATTTAATGGTTGTTTTGTGCTCTGAGGCTGCCAGACCTTATATCATTGGGCTCAGGGCCGTCCTGGACGTTCCTTGGAAACCACAGCGAAGGTGGAACGTAGGCTCACACAGCAATTGGCCACGCAGAAGAGGCATGATCGAATTCGCCAGCGGTTTCCCGTTGAGAGCGCTGGCGAAGTGGAAGGGGAAGGGTCGCAGGCCCCCCTCAGCGAAGCCGAGACACGTGTTTGCGACCCGTTGGGAGGTGAGCACTGCGGCTCGGACGAAGGAGGACCCGTGGGCCTTCGAGCCCAACTTCGGACCCCCTCCCGCCCCGCCCGCCACCTCTTCTATGCTAGTTGTTTCAGAACAGTCAATTAGTAATTCAGCCCAGCGTGGGAACCCCTCAGTAGCACCATGCAACTGTCTCACGAAGTATTTCACGAGCCACCGCCCCAAGGGCCAGTGGAGAATTTAACGTCATATAGCATTGCTGGGGCCACCTGGAGTGCTGAAAGGAAAAACATCGGGTTCATTCCTTCGTGCACTTATCCGCCTGCGGAGGCTGTTGTTCGATCCGTAGCACACTCCCTTGGCTCGCGTCATTGCGAATTCATCAGCAGTCTTTTCAGTGCGTGGACTCGCACGCTGGAGGCCAGTTCCGTTTCGCACCGTGGCCAGGCCAGCCTTGGACGCTCTCGTGCAGAGGGGCCCAAGTTTCGCACCGAAGCTGTTCTGGAGGCTACCCCATCCAGGGTTGCGCCGATGGGGGGCCACATCAGTGGGCGGTGGACCAGGACACATGTTGCTCCAGATACAGATTCCAAACACCGTGCCAGGAACAATGGAGCGAAGCAGCAGCAGTTGCTACTTTCGTCACGCACGAAGTTGTGCCAGGAGGCGCCCGAGCAAAGGCATCAAGTCCTCAGGCCGAAGGACGGCATATCATGGGCATCTCGGCTTCAGCTGTTATCATCAGCGGGCACGCTGAGTGACCGGGGGCTTGCTGAAGCAGTCAATTTGAGTGAACGAGTCTCGCGGAGAAGCCAGCGACGGGCCATCAGTCAGACACTTGCTGAATTTCGAGTGGACGGAGCCTCAGAGTGCTGTATCGGTCCTGCATCGGGTGATACGAGAACCCTCTCAGGTCTCTCCTGTCCTCGTCGACGGGGACGCAACCATACAGCACCCGCTGGACACCATGGATCGGAAGAGTGCGAAGTTTCAAGAGTTGCGGGCTCCTGAAGGTTAGCAGCTGGAGGAGCTGCAAGATCTATTTCATGACATACGAGCTCAAATTGCAGAGGAGCCCCTCCCGCTTATGTCAGGCAAGCAGCTACGAGCGGCCGGCAGACGCACGAAGCAGACTGCGGCCATGGGAGTCGATCGTCTCACGGCGCTCGACACAGACAGCCTCCCTGACTGCGCGCTCGAGGAGCTAGCGGTGGTCCTCGCGGCGCGTGAGAGCTGTCAGGCGTGGCCGCGCCAGCTGCTCTTGACGATCGGCACGCTGTTGCCGAAGAAGATCGCGGGCGACAGGGTCATCGGCCTGTTGCCCCACGTTGCGCGACTCTGGCCCCAGGCGCGAGAGCCCTGGGTGCGTTCGTGGACCAAGGACTGCGAAGCGCCGTGGGATGCCGCGATCCGCGGCAATGCAGCGCTGCAGGAGGCGTTCACCCGCGTGATGGACGAGGAGCTTGCAGCGCGCTTGGGCGTGGCCCATGGCCACGGCTTGCTGGACATCGCCAGCTTCTACGACTCCATCGGATGGCTCTGGCTGGGCAAGACTGTCCTGCGGCTGGACTTCCCAGCGGAGGTCAAGGGGCTGGAGTTGATGCAGTGCATGGCGGCGCGGTGCCTTCGCCCCGACGAGGTCGGTGGCCCAGGGCCTGAGGTCAGACACACGTTTTGCCAAAGTGGTAACATATTTGATCACGCAGCGAATTACCACAGCTCATGTGCAGCTATCACACAGGTTGCGGATCGACGATTTGAGACAGGTTGCGAAAGGATCGAGGCGAGCTGTGCGTGATCGACGCGTGGCATGTTTGAATGAGACGCGCATGTTGACGCAGAGTGAGGGCCTCAAGATCCCCCCCAAGAGCGCGGTGGTCTGCACCAAGCTCGCGGATGCCAAGGAGACCGCGAGGCGCCTCAAAGCGGCCGGTTTCTAGGTGACAGCGGCGGCGCAGACTCCGTATCTCGGCGTTGATGTCGGCGGTGGGCGACGACGCGTTCGTGCGACCCGGACGGCAAGAGCAGCTCGTCACCAGAGAATGCACAGCAAGGTCGTGAAGCACGCGCGCACGGCGCGCACGCACAGGCTGACGGC